TTTCGTCTTGTATGGTAGTATTCATTTATTAAGCTTTAATATTGACAATTGCATCTTCTGACACTTCAAAATTACTTTCTGAATAAGCAGTTCCAGATAAACAATGTTTAATGTATAATTCACCATCATCTGTTTCATCATTCAATTTTAAATTATTTAGCTCAAGTCTACTCATTGTCATTGTCAAACATCCTTCACAGCTTTGTGTATTATAAGTGAGGTTCACATCACGATCGTCAGCAATGGCCAACTTACCTGTCCTCAAGGAGATTATATCTTTACTGCAAGCAACATTTATTTCACCAATAATACTTTCTTCAATATTACTTTCCTTTTGCATTTTATTACCTTCTGCTTCTACATTTTGGGATGTATCACAACTGTCTGCAGCGTTCGCACAATCTTGATGTTCTACATGTATTTCAGCACTATAAATGTGTGAGTGAGTAGCTGCATCAATTTCTATAATATTTTGACTCGTATTTTGTTCTCCTTCGTATACATCCTGGTTAGCTAAAATATATCCATCATTGATTTCATCATATCCAGCATTTAAACTTTTGTCTTCTGTACACTTCATGCATTTGTCAAGTAGATGCGTACCATCTGATCAAACAAAAAACAATTTAAATTAATTTATATGCGAACATTTGTGTCAAGAACTATGTGAAGCGTAATAAAAAATATAATCTAAATTAGTTTTGACCATCACAAAATGTAACTTATAACACGTTTAAACATTGAATATTAGGCAATTTCAATGTTGAAGGTACACTATTTACAACAACTCATGTAATGCTATTTTAAGATACTTGCATAAAAACGTTCATGATCCCAATTTATTTCTTAAAATGATATCGTACTAATTTAATTAAAGAAATAATCATGTTTATTAAAAATAAAATTAAATGCACATCAAATGTTTAAAAGAAACGAAAGAGATTAACTTTTTTTATATTACCAGTAAACACTATTTATTATTATTATTATTTTTTTTTTTTTTTTTTACTGTGGTTCGAAACTTTGGGGATGAAGCGTGTTTTTGAAATGAACTTTATTATTATTATTATTATTGTTTACAGTTTGATTTTAATATTTAGTCTTTTTATATTACCAGTAAACACTATTTATTATTATTATTATTTTTTTTTTTTTTTTGTACTGCGGTTCGAAACTTTGGGGATGAAGCGTGTTTTTGAAATGAACTTTATTATTATTATTATTATTGTATACAGTCTGATTTTAATAGTCAGTCTTTACTTTCAAAGTACTATTCTCGTTGGGATGAAATGTGTACGTGATTCTCACCTTTTTGTTTTTTGTGAAAGATAAAACACAAAAACAATGTTACGAAGATGGTGCCACTGACTATGGTCACCACCATTGTTTCAGTACTAAACGACGTCACATTTTTAACTTGATCTGGTAGTAAAAATAAAAATGGATTGTAAAATTATCAAAATAAACTTTAGAGATATTTTTACTATATTCGATATTTTATTGGCCTATAAGTTTATTAAATGAAGACTGTATCATTAGTTTTTATTTTTTTTTTAATTTTTAAAAATTTTACTCAAACTAAAATGTTCCAACTACATTGAAATTAAGCTTTGATTATTTAGCTGTTTGTTTAAATTAAAACTTATATTAATTACATAGTTCCCCCGGGAAAATGGAGAGATGTCTGAACCATGCTGTCTGATGCATTAAACCAGGGGTCTCCAAACTTTTCAGACCTAGGGCCGCATTAACTATCAAATAGGAGTTCGGGGGCCGACTACACACTCCAGGTCCAAATAAAAATGAATCAAAACATGGATATGTTTTTAAATTATTTATGTATTTTAACTTTATTTAGTTTATATTTAATAACACATTGATAAACGACACATGAAAACCTGTATTACTGGGAATGTTGCATTGTTTCCTGGATGCCAAAAGAGCAGCGATTTGCAGACATTTCTGGATTTAGATTTGATATCCCTAACCTCAAAAGTCTAATGAGCTTATCATCGGAAAATTTTTTCTCAAAGATTGCAATGTACATTGATACACATGTTTTGAAATTAGGAAAGTCTTCCTTGGACGAAAACTAGTTAAAACCCCACCGGTCCTTCTTTGAACTTGTGCCTATGGAGGTCATTTGTTTGCAACTCAATGACCACCAGGTGCAGTTCATGTGGGCGACTGGCCACATCTGCTTCAAATGGGTTTTGAAAACGTCTCACTTATTCTGCCTTTAAAACCAAGTCAGAAAACAACTGCTGAGACACTGCAGCTGGGGGTCTTTGATGATCTGGCATACAAATTGCGTGGGGAACTTCGCTGTTGCTTCAGTCATGAAGACCGTCCACAGCTGAAAGTGCGTCAAGCTGGTAGCCTGTACTTGTTCCAAAAACAAGACGAATTTGGATCTCAAGGCCTTTAGGTGGGTGTATAAATTAGAAACTAGATTTTCCTCTCCTTGTAGTTTTAGGTTCATAAAATATGATTGACTATATATCTTTGCAAAAGACCAATTTCCATACCAACTCTTCATCAGATGGTAATGGTTGATGCTGGCCTTTACTTTCCACGATGTACCTATTTCCTTTCTTAACTTAAATACTCTGCTCATAACTTTCTCACAACTTAGCCATCTTATTGCTGTGTAATATGGTAAATCTTGCGATTCTGTGTCTATATCTTTCAATAAGTCTCTGAACTGTCTATGGTTGAGCCCATGTGACCGTATTAAATTAACCCTCTTTACCACATAATTCAGTACGCTGCTAATGTCCACATATTTAGCACACACAGTTTTCTGCTGAATAATACAGTGCAGGAACATTGGTTGCAGAATTTTTTGCTCAATACACATCTGCTTCGCTCTTCCAACAAAGCCTTTCTTTATGCAACTCATGTTATTTCCTCCATCAACAGTCAGGCAACTGAGGTTAGTCCAGTCCAAGTTATAATCAGCACATGTTTTTTTTCTTCAAATCATTGAATATATCCTCTCCGGTAACAGTGCCGTACATGCTGTGTTTGGAAGTCAGCTCTTGTGTAATGTTCATGTCTTCATCCACACCCATAAGTAACAGAGGCTGTTGAGAGATGGAACAGCTGTCCAGTGATTTAGCCATTGCAATTAAAAATTGGCAAAACGTGCTTGCTTTTTTCGCTATTTACGTCACAATGTTTTCAACTATATCTGCAACACGTCGGGCAAATCTCAGCCTTTAGATAGCGTTATATCAGTCTCATTGACTGTGAACAGAAGTAGAGAAACTAAACAGCGAATAAGGTTTTGCAAAGTAATGATCGGTTTGAAAACATAACGCACTACTGCGCGCCTCTATTTTAATTCGGTAAAAACATAACGTCCACTTAAGCAGCGTCTGATCTTGGCAGGATACATGTTAATTTCTGTAATTTTTTTCCGTAGACAAAAAGGTCTCCTAGGGCTGCATGAGAGGGCCTCGCGGGTCGCATGCGGGCCGCGGGCCGTAGTTTGGAGACACCTGCATTAAACGAAGGAGACATTTGAATGGGCACGGTAAAGTTTTTAAGCCCAGGGGACTAATGGTTAAATTCAAAGTCCAGTCAGACATCATTGGGGAAATTTTGTATGCCAATTATTTTCAAATTAACGCTGAATCAAAAAAAAAAAAAAAACGCAACAAATGTTGTCATTTCTTCGATGCTGGCACAATTTTTGGTCTCACCATTTTCACAAAGAAGATTGAGGTCCCCTAACTATTATCCCTACAAAAATCTTATATCGAGCGCAACATCCAAACAAATTGCTAAAAGTTAAAAGTTGTAAAGAGAGTCTCTTTACTCGGCATGACTTTATCCAAAAAGAAATAAATAACCATTTATTATGAGGTAAACTTTCGAAATAAAACACCACTGGCAACATTTTGAGAAATGTTTAAGAATGTATGGACACGGAGAGGCATCATCAGCAACACCAAAATAACCTATACTACAAAATGCATGTGGAATATTGATAGCCTATTAACACCATTCAAGGAAAGTGAAACAATTTAACAAGATGAGTCCTCGAAAAATCCTCAACATCAAATTGCAAGACAAGATTCAAAACACTGAGGTACTCGCACAAGTTGGTCTCCCCAGTTGTATGTGTCGTTTCACAAACATGTCAGTCGACCTTTTTCCCCCCCCCCCCGCCCAAAAAACATATTAATTTTCGTTTAAGGTGAACTCAAACTTGTCAGGCGTTTTGTTAGTGGAAATAACAAAAGATTTAAAGACAAACTGAACGCATCTTTAAAGTATTTCACATTAACACGGACATGTAGGAGCATTATTCAAAGAATCTTGACTCGTTTCACTCATCTACACACAGGGGTCAATCCAACATGAGGCTGACAGAAAAGCTCCTCCAGAACACAAGAG